ACTGGCATTTCGATAATAGTTTTAAATTCTTGTAAATTCACTGCAAAAACTGAGGAAAGTCATTATAGAAAATAACAAATGTCTTAGAATATCTCGCAAAAAGAAATGATCCAATATTAGTTAGAGCTAGTAAGGCCAAACGCTCCGTTCTTGAAGTAAAAGTGCGAGCTTTGCGCCAAAGTGACGTCACTAGAGTGACGTCGGAGGATCGGCGCGGCAAGAGATACTTCAAAGGAGTGAACCAGCTCTTCTATTCTCTTTAGCCCTGACTTCCGGCAACTGTCTACCAGGCTGCTTAACTTTAATTTTTTTAAAAAAAAAATAACTTTGCCTTTGTATGCTTTACAGCTCTACAGCTCTACAGCTTTGTTTGCTTTACAGCTCTAAATAAAGTGCTTTTAGACTGGCAGATTAAACACAACTTTCAATTAAGTCAAGTTTCGTGTCTATATAGAATCCAAAAAATTAAAACTATCCACTATTTCGTGATGACGGTTTTCAAATACATGAACGAACTTCTTTCAGATATGGTGACAAATAGGGACATTTTTTAAAACAGTTATTTTTTTTTATTATTTAGTTTAATCTACATTCAGAGCCTGACAAAGGCAAGGGCATACGGGGCAGTTGCCCCGGGCCCCACATCAGAAGCGGCCCCCAAATCGAATTAAAAATTTATTTTAGGTCTCCTTCTTTGATGAACTTTTTTTTAAACAAAATATCAGTACAGTGTAAAATCCATCTGTTTTATGTTAGCTTCTTCATTAATATCTATTGTATGAACACAATAAATCTATATTTCGTAAATCCCCGGCTTTCTAGTGCAGAATTCAGCAGATTTTTTGCAATTACGATGGACAAATTTGGCCAATCAAAAGCCTGTATTTTCACATATCGCAAAATGCGATATTTTACAAAAATACAGGCTTCTGATTGGCTTAAGTGAGCCATCGTCATTGCGAAAATTTAGCTGAATTTCGCCCTAATGTCAGCAAGGATGTGAATTTTTCGCAACTAGACGACAAAGTTAACAATCAGAAAACTGCATTCGGCATGAATGGATATAGAATTGTCAGAAAATGAATATAGTGGACAGAACGATACCATTAAAAGGGTGGAGGCGACTTTATAGCTATTATAGATTCGAGTCAATTTTCTAGCTTCATATGAGGTGAAATATCTATATCTGTATAATGAGGTGAAAATTTTAAATACCTCCATATACTTCAGAGGGGGGCCCCAAAGAAGTTTTTATTAGGCTAAGACGGGCCCCTGTCTACATTCATAACTTTTACAATAGAGAAAACGAACATTTTATTTTAATTAATCTCAAACTATTCATCAAATAATTTTCGAAATTTCTTCTGCATAAAATTCATTACTTTTAAAAATTAGTCCTTCCTATTTGCAATTTCACCATATTGCTACAGAAAGATCAGAGCATCGAATTTCTTTTAAGATTTATCTTGCATATTCAAAACTTAAACAAGCTATTTACGAAAATTAATCTTTAGTAATTACAAGTTCATCAAACTATTTTCGAAAATTCGTTCTTGCATAATTACAACTTTATCAAGCTATTTTCGAAAATTTTTCTTGCATAGGTATAGAAGGTCATCGTATTACTTTAGAAAAATAATATCCTTTCGCTACAAACTCATCGAACGATTCTGAAGACAATTATTACGAAGATATTTACTTTTTAAAATTGAAGTGCGTCTTTAGGTAAAGTGTATTGTAAATAAATAATTGAATAAAGTGCGTTGAAAAAATTACATTAAAATAGTTTTTTATTTATAAATGTTTGTTTAATCCAAAATGTTTCTCTGAGTAAAATTTACGGTACTTTTCTTATTGATGTTAGTTTTTAGATAATGTAGGCAATTATTCTAGCATATTTATATATTTTTCAATGGAGCGAAATTGAAAGAAAAAAAGAGCTGATTTCTTTTGAAAATGTGCATGTTTTTAACAATTAAAAATGTTTTAAATGCACAAAACAGTAATTTTAATTTTTTACTCTTAATTATCAAACAACTTAAAACTGTCCATAATTAATTTCCTTAAAAGTGTTTAAATAAAAAGAAAATAATACTTTTTAGAATGACATTTCAATAGATATAAAAAGTTAACAACTTTAAATATGTAACTCATGATATAAGTTCAGTAAAAATATTTTATTGAAGACTCAGAATACAATATCTGGTTTTTAGAATATATACTGAAATATCCTACTTGTTACTCGTTAACAAAAATGTGTAATATCCGTTTTACATTCCATATAATGTAAATAATTTTAACATTTGGAAATTTGAAAATAAAAGAAACATAGACACTTATTGATATGCCCCACTCTATTAAAATTTACAACTATTAAAATAAAAACTCTCTATTCTTTTACTGTCTAAATTCTTACTCTATTAAAATAAAAACTCTCTACTCTTTTACTCTCTAAATTCTTACTCTATTAAAATAAAAACTCTCTACTCTTTTAATCTCTAAATTCTTACTCTATTAAAATAAAAACTCTTTACTCTTTTACTCTCTAAATTCTCAAACCATTAAAATAAAAACTGTCTACTCTTTAACTCTCTAACTACTTACTCTATTAAAATAAAAACTCTCTACTCTTTTACTCTCTAAATTCTTACTCTATTAAAATAAAGACTCTCGACTCTTTTACTCTAAATTCTTACTCTATTAAAATAAAAACTTTCTACTCTTTTACTCTCTAAATTCTCACAACATTAAAATAAAAACTGTCGACACTTTAACTCTCTAACTACTTACTCTATTAAAATAAAAACTCTTTACTCTTTTACTCTCTAAATTCTTACTCTATTAAGATAAAAACTCTCGACTCTTTTACTTTCTAAATTCTTACTCTATTAAAATAAAAACTCTCGACTCTTTTAATCTCTAAATTCTTACTCTATTAAAATAAAAACTCTCTACTCTTTGACTCTCTAAATTCTTACTCTATTAAAATAAAAACTTCTTACTCCTTTACTCTCAAATTCTTATTCTATTGAAATAAAAACTATCTACATTTTTACGCTCTAAATTCTGACTCTATTAAAATAAAAACTCTCTACTCTTTTACTCTCCAAATTCTTATTCTATTAAAATAAAAACTCTCTACATTTTTACGCTCTAAATTCTGACTCTATTAAAATAAAAACTCTCTACTCTTTTACTCTCTAAATTCTTACTCTATTAAAATAAAATAAAAAGGATTTAACAAATTGAGTAGTTGAGGACTTAGATGGCGTGTTTTGAATTGTTTTTAAACTTCAAATAAATAGATAAATTATTTAATTATTAAAAATATCATTGTTGTTAAAAAAATTGGAATGGATTTGTGTTGTTGGCCTTTAACAGAGAAGAATTAATTTTACTGGAATTTAATTATATTAATTATTTAATTAATAAATTTAATTATATGTAGTGTAATGCTATCAATTACCATTCCAGTTCCTATTTGTTGCAAGAGGCTGGATGCCTGATTGGGATTTGCACCTGGTACTTGTGCTGCATTCCGTTGCAGGTCTGTAGCACACACTGCAGCAGCAGAATAACGTCTCATTCCTGGTCTAGATGGCGTTGAAAATTCAATATTGAAGTTCGGAGTGACCTATAAGTAACAGGTGAAATATAATTAAAAAGAAACATTCTTAAATATTTGCATATAACAGGCAAGATATTTCCAACACTAGATTTCTCACCAGAAAAGTTTGTAATAGATCATGAAAGATGGTAATAAAGTTAGGGTAAGCCTATGTAGTACACTTTTTTTTTGATGTTAACTCTAATTTAAATCACGAATGTGTAGTATGTCTACCATTACAAAAATGCAATTCCAATTCACTGTTATATAAGACATGTTAACTCGATTCAATGCCGGGGTACCTTTTCATAGATGAAGGTTGACATTATCGATAAAACCTCTTCCAACATCGGTGACTTTTGGACGTGATGTGAACACGCCCACTTCGATTTGAACACGCCTACTTCGATGGATTCCCCATTGAACAGCTGACTTGCTACTTGTGACTGTGACATTATCCACCTCCTAGCGACGATGCTACTCAGTCAAGATCACACGCAACGTTGGCCTGTGTGCACTCGATTGCTAATGGCAATACAGGAGCGACTAAGAGAATGAGCTTAATACAGCTCTCATGATCAGCATTTAAAAAGTCCGGTGATATTAATACAGCTCTCCCGGCTCCTCACAAAACAGCAATGAATCAACTAGTGGTATCCATTAATCGAATTCTGTCACAAATATAATTCTGGTGAGGGAGTACTGCAGTGTGCTTATCATTGCAAAAATACAGTTCCAATTCACTAGTATATAAGACATGTTAACTCGATTCTATCAGCGAGGTACCTTTCCATAGATGAAGGTTGACGTAGTCGATAATATGCGCCCCACAGGATCAATTATATTCTTAGATAAAACAATCTGGTAAAATATTGGAAGGCGTAACGGAAAAACAATAAAACAAATCCAAAGTCAAATTTGAAAAACGCTAAAGCAGCTCAAAATTTGTCTTCAAATAAATTTATGAAACATTAGAGAATTATAATTAAATTGAAGTGGAAAAGTAACTGGGATTAAAACAAACATTTTCCATCATGAATGTAATACTTCATCAGAGGACATCCTGCAGGCAATCAGATGGGAGCTTTTGTGTGCAGAACTGTTTAACAAAACTGTTATTCGTGTCCCTAAAAACCTGTTGATACGATCCAAGTTCTCGGACGAAGATTGATTGAAATTGATGGAAACTTGTTTTACTTTGAGCTTGGATCGCGTAAACGATCATCCAAGTACTTGGTTCAAGTCCTTGGAAGATGGTGGAGCATGTTCTACTTTTCATCCAAGTTTTTTTTCCCTAAACCAATCAGCTTCTTAAATTTCGTGACGTCAACAAGAAAGCCATCAGATTATGTCATTTTGTTGTCTATTTCCATATATTTTAGTCCTAATAAATTAATCTGTTAGGGTCTATTTGAGGTATTTTGATTTTATTTGAATTCAATAAGTAATTTTAAATTCATTAAGTGTGATTTCAATATGTTGAATATGAACAATGCGCATGCGCAAATTTTTCTTCCGAAAAATCAGTGGCATTCCAGAACTTGGATAGCGTCGACGAATCATCCAATTTCTTGGAGAGAGAAATCCCTCCAATTTCTCGGATTCAAGAACTTGGACCGTGCAAACAGGCCTTAACTGCTTAACAAAACACAAGTGTTATTTGTCTTGTTAAACAGTTATTAACGAAAAAAAACCCCTATGTGAATGCATGCAGAATGTCCCTTAATGAAGTCCTGCATTACATTCATGTTACTTTTCAAGAGTGCGTAGCCAAATCTTTCAACAAAAAATAAGCACCTTTTAAGTACTTTTTAAGCACTCAAAAAATATCTTTATGCACAATATACGTTAGCAAAATATAAAATAATTTTCACAGACTTTACGCGATTTTTATAAAATAACTAGTTTCCGACAAAGAACTCTTTTTCCCGATTAAATTAGCCATTATAAAAAGATCGAGAGAATTTTCGGTTCGATTTCGGAGGTTGGAAAATGAAACCTGAAATTGAGAATAAGTTGCAAAATGTAGCAGAGTTGCACATGAGAGTGCAAGAATCTCACCGTACCCAGCTCAGTTGACGCACATGCGGACTCCCAAGTATTTCATCAAACATGTAAAATGATTGGCGCTTTCATACGCTATGGACTGACGGTACGCTGAAATAGATTGTGGTTGATTGAATTGTGAAAACGTTGAATAGAACAGTGTGAAAAGCACGTTTTTGCATAATACGTTGCGAAAATCGACATGGTAAGGAAAAAAAAATCTCATCTTCGAAAAGGGAACATTAAGCACTCTTTCAAAACACCCCATAAATAAGCACCTTTAAGGGCTTTTAAAAAACGAAAATCAAAAATAAGCACCTATAAGCACTTTTTAAAAGCGCTACTCACCATGTTTTCTATTTAAATTTAATTATAATTTTTTTTTCTTCATAAATTTCAATAACGAATAGATATTCATAGGACTAGGAGGCTTCGCCCCTTGCTCGCTGGCGCTCGCCAACCTCCGGAACTGCTTTCGCAGTTCATTTCGGATTGCTTCGCAATCCGATGCTCGCTTTACTCGCTCATTGGATACGTTCTTAACGTCTAGCTTTTGTATACTTTTTTGAACACTGAAGTTCCGAAAACTTTTCACTGTAGAAAATTCTAAACCTGTACATTTCAATATTAATTTGAAATTGCAAACAGTTCGCATATTTTTCTTAATCGCACTATTCTAAATTTCAGTTGTTGAGAAAAGTAACTGTTGTAAGTTTTGACTTTAAGTCTTTTTCACCAGAGGGCTAAAACCATGTGTTGTAAAACAATATGAAATAGTACTGAAAGCCGGATGTAAAGCATCGGCTTCGATGACGATAATTTTGTGAGAATTTTTTTGATAATTCGGTGAGAATTCACCCGATTAGACATATGATGCTCACTACGTACTCTTGCGCGCCGAAGCCTATCAATTAAAACGTATTAGCGTTTTATATAACATGGATTAGCCATATGATGCTCACTACGTTCTCTTGCGCGCCGAATCCAATCAATTAAAAATGAAAACTGTTGCCAGCGCGAGAAAAGAAATATCATCGGTTTTATTGATACATACGTACGTATTAGCGTTTTATATAATATGGATGCGTACCACTCTTGGAGACCAGTTGTTGAACCGATTGTCTTGACCTCCAGAGTGTCTTCTGATGGGCAACATTCCAGCGCTGGCCCCCCTCTTCATGTTACCGTCCGGACTGGCTGGGGCCACCAGGATCCGGGGAGGCTGGATGGTGTTGTCTGAATGACGTCTGCCAGGAAGATTGCCCTGCACCGACAGCAAGTTCGAGTCTGGAGACGAGGATGCTGGAAGAAAATAAATGGTGAGAATGGCATGAAGGAGTCTGAAGTTAAAACAAAAGGAACTTTTTATACAAAAACTTCCTTAACAAAAGTGAATGCTCTCCAGTTTCATTCGAAACAAGCAACATAAAATTTGTTTTAAAAGTCAATTTCTATTTAGGTCAACAAGGAAATTTTTTTGATTTTAGTTGCTTTTTATTAAATAGTTTTAATTCTTTTCTCCCATATAAAAATAAAATTAATTCATTAAATGTAATTAATATTTGAAAAAAAAACTGTATTACCATCTAGTGTCATCTACAACAAATTTTCAAAAAATGTATTTGAATTTGAGTGGATGAATAAAAAGTATTTAATCAAAGATTGAAAATTGAACAAGATATAGGGAGAGGGTGAACTAATAGTAGGAATTGAAAAAAAAGGCGCGTTGTATCAGACATCTATAAAAGTATAAATTTGGTGACGTGGAGCAAACGTACTACCATGCCATTTTCTTTAATGAATTTATCTGACACAGTGACTATAAAATAATTAAATGTTGTTGTTGTTGTTCATTTACGTCACACTAGAGTTGCACAATGGGCTATTGACGACGGTCTGGGAAACATCCCTGAGGATGATCCGAACACATGCCATCACAATTTTGATCCTCTGCAGAGGGGATGGCACCCCCGCTTCGGTAGCCCGATTACCTGCACGCGAAGTCGAGCACTTTACGGTAGAACAGTTTAACAAGGACCCATACCGCACACACTTTGTGCCTAAGCAGGCTGATCCAAGTGGTCAACCACCCGCACGCTGACCGTAGCCAGTGATGCTTGACTTCGGTGATCTGCTGGGAACCGTGTCTTAACGATCAGTCCACCGCGGGACTGAAATAATTAAATATTTAAATGTGAGCAATAAACTATTTTTTTAGTTCAAACAGAGCTATAAGCTAGAAATGATCACTGATGTTATTTTTAAAATACGGGAAACCTGAATAGATTATAGTAAAATTTAAAACAATGACTAACGCTTAACCCATCAGAAAATTCCATTTCGTTTTTCGCTCATCCCTATTTAATGAATAAATTAATATTTGAAAAAAAAAAACTGTATTAACATCAAGTGTTAATACAGTGTTAATACATCCACTACAGGTTTTAAAAAATGTATTTGAATATGAATGGATGAATAAAAAGTAATTTATTACCGATTGAAAATGTGAACAAGATATTGGGAGAGTATGAACTAATAGAAGGAATTGAATAAAATAGTTAAAAAAATAAAAACACAAAACAGTGTTTGCGTACTGACGTCCTCGGAAATGATTAGCTTGATTTTTGATATTGTTTTTGTTTTTTTCCTTCAATTTAATATTATTTTCCGATATCTAAACCAGCTGTTTTTAAGACTCTAAAAGACTCTGACAAGGAATCTCAAAATACAGATTAAGAGTTGAGATTATGGGCAAGATCGTTATTTTGTTCTATTGATATATATTCGCTAGATGCTACTTGAAAAGTTTGCACTATTAATTTGTTATGAGTCAAACGATGTCTGTTTTACTTGTGTTGCTAATAAATGAAAACAAATGCTCATTTTATTATTTTTCGAGTAAAAAAAAAAGAACACAAATTTTATTATTCCATTACCTAGCTCTATAATCTTGATATGAGTGAACTATATCTGTACTTACGCTCTGTTTCAAATGTGCTGCAAATAAAAATTATACTGTTCAATTTAGTATTTTTAAGAAAGAAATGTATGCAAATCGTTTATTCCAATAGTTTATACTTTGAATTTAATAGGAGTGAACTACGGAGGTTGTTTTTCAACTAAGAGTCGTTTTATTGTGTACACTAATTACACTAATAGGTGACGCGTGCGTCGCAACGAGTGCTTGCGTAGTCATTTCTTGGGACTGAGCTCACTGTACTCAGTTGCAGCTGTATAGGTAAACTGTGCGTCAGTTTTGTGTCTTTAAAATGTTCAAATTTAATCAATCGCCATCCACGCACGTGATAAGGTAAGCGATGCGTTTCATGTAACCTTACGACAACCTTGCGTCGGAATTTTCCTTTTGCTGTCACGAAAATGTTTGCACTAAAAACCTTTTTTTCAAATAAAGCAAAAATATTGCAATTTCAATCCTTTCATCCTAAAAGGATTTAAAAATTATGTTTTAAAGCTTTTTTTAAAAAAAGTATTGTTAAGCAAAAATAGTGCAGTTTCAAACCTTTCATCCTAAAATGATTAAAAACTATTTTTAAAGCTTTTTTTTTTTAAAAAAAAAAAGTATTGTTTTTTTGGTAAAATGATCTTTTAGGTCCAAAATGACGTGTTAGCTCACGTCACACTAGCGATAGGATCAAATTGCATCATCCATTAAAATTTCATGACAAGGTGGATTTTAGCTGAGCATACAAGACTTTGTGAAAAGGAACCTTATAATGACCTAGATATAAGATTATTTTCACCTCGAGACTAGCTTTATAAAAAAGATTTTTTTTTCATGCTTGAAAACCCTGAGACAACCTCGATTTAAGGTTATTATATAGAAGATTGTTTAACAAGGTTTTGGATTAGGGTAATGTGCATAGAATAGAGCTGATTGTGACAGATCTCGTTTTAAGATTAGAAGGTTTACACGTAAACCGCATAAAAAAAAACCTTGTTGGGTTTACATTGAAAGGTTTTTGCTGAGTCAAAATAAACCTTATTTTGCTATCTGGGTTGCATACATTCACTGGAAGATTTGTGAAGTAGCTAAATTTTTTGCCATGCAAACAGGAACATTTGCTACTCTATGACAATGACTCTGTCCGCAGCTCAGATCCCAGTCTCAGACCACCGGTCTCAGAATTTCGGACCACCCTTCCCAATAGCCCAGACGGACATTGCGCCGAGTGTCTTCATCTTGTCCGATATTTCAAACATCATTTTGGCGGCAATCACTACAACGATGACGAATACGGGAAAAGGACCGTGACCTCTTGGTTAAAGGCCTGGTTTCTTAGGACAGGACGCCGTCAGCTGGAAATCAGCGCTAACCTCTGATTGGTCCATTTGTGACTTTGATAGTATACATAATCGAACGCTCATCTTGAACTACAATTGCCGTCCAACTCTACTGCAGTTGGATTACAACGTGACGTTAATCACAGAAGCAATGGCGGACAACATCCAACAGCACATTGAAATCAGCCAAGATTTTGATTTCGACATTAAACATAGCTTCTTCATTAAACATAGCACTCTTCATTTAGCTCAGCTATAATGCGTTTTTTCTTGGACAAAGTCATTATTTGTTCTCTAAAACACTGGTCGACAATCACAAAATCAAAACAAATTCAAAATAAATATTTGTTTACGTTATTAACGCATGCGTAATGAGAGATATTGTCTGCGTTGGACCGACTGCTCAAGCTGAGCTAACAAAAAAGTATTTTTTTGGAGTCAGCTTTACGTCAACTTTCCGCTGACGCTCAGATAAGGCGCTAGTTCTAAGAAACCAGGTCTTGAGCTAACAAACCAGTATTTTGTTGGCGTCAGCTTTACGTCAACTTTCCGCTGACACCCAGATAAGGCGCTTGTTCTAAGAAACCAGACTTTTTAACGGATCAGGCGGTAAGTTTGCAAGAAGACGTCATTCTAAATCTAGTTGTAAAGTATGATAAGTGTTTAAACAAATTTGGCATTTATTACAACCGCATAAACGAATCACGACATAGGAATTTAAACTCGCGTGAATACGAATCACTACAAAGGGGTTTAAAAACGCGTGAATGCAAATCGCGATATTGGATTTTTAAATATCGTAAATAAGAATCTAAATTTACGATATTTAAATTGCCTGAATAAGAATTGCTATGAGCAACTTTCGAATCAGGTAAATACGAAAATCGACGTTTGATATTGAAATCTCGTAAAATAAGAATTGAAAATCGGAAATAAATATAATTATTTTATTTCAACGACTGAAGTTTCAGAAAAAGCGGAATATTTATATAAAAAAAAAGGAAGGAAGAAAAAAAACGAAATTTTTAGAGAATATAATTTTTTGATAAAAAGGTTCGAATGAAAAATATTAACGGCTAAGGAATGAAAAGAGCGCGAATTCTTCTTGTCACACCAGCAACTACGTTTCAGGCTCATCTTCATTTTCTGAATAACCAAGTTTTGTCTCAATGATTTATGCTTTGTTATTTATTGACTAATCTTTGCCTATGTTCTGCTTCAACCATACTGATAATAAATAAAGATTATTGTTCGTATATGCGGTTTTTGAAGTCGACAGGTACCATTCAGTTTATAATTCTACTAATTTGCATCATAAATTTAGTAAGGGTGAACTATAATTGTACCTAGTTAATATTTCACGTGATATGATAATAAAAAAAAATTATGTATTTTATTTATAACCGTCGTTAAACAGTCGATCAATTTTTCTTGGATTTACGACTACTAATGTTCAAATCCGTAGCCTTGTAATTTTGAACCCCATCCAGAAGACAAGAGAACTCCTCGATCAAGCATTGGGAGAAATTTGCTTTCGAGGAGGACATTTTGATTGAACAAACCAACATTTGCGTTACATGGGGAGGAAAACCACGAAAACCTACTACGGTTAGCCTGACGGCAAGAGGACTCTAACGCATGATCCGTCTACCACTGAAGATATTTCACGTCAGCAGTGTGGTCAGTGCAAGCCGGATGCGGAATTATATGGAACGTTTTAATCCCTGAGCCGTACCACGGCTCTGCAGGATTATCGAAATATCCATTCATGCAAATTTCACTAGTATTTTATGATATCCCAGATTAATTGGAATTCATCGAATTAATCTTTCGCCTTTGACTAAAAATTATGTTTTGATGGTTTTTTGTTTTTATTGGTCTGCAAAAATGGAAAGCGCTCTTTTTTTCAAATTTGTAAACAAACGTTTAAAAGTATAAATTATTGCCAATATGGTGGAAAATAATCAATATCTTCAAGTATGTATCAGTTTTTTTCTTGAATATTGAAATAATTTTCAGCTTGATTGTAATGAAATATTTCCTTTTTAAAAGTAAATAAGATCGAAACAGAAGCGTACATAATTATCTTCAAAATAATAATGATGAAAAAAAAACCCAACAACAACATCAGAACAAGAGCACATCGACATGCACGCACTGCAAATTAAACTTTTTCAGCAGCGGCCATCTTTTTAAAAGAGAGCGGATTTGTGGCGAACCTCCCAAATCTATCTGAGTTAATTACTCTCTTTTCAGTGCAAAGGTTCTAGCCTCTCTAGGGGAAAAGGGGAATCTCTCATTAGAGCTAGAGTAATTATTTTTCCTCTCAAGAGTTGTGTCAACAAGTAAGCCTCTTTATTGTGGTTGCGCATTTATATTTTATTTCTGTTTTAGTGGCAGAAATTCATAAGCGCCATTTTCACAAGAGAGCGAAATGTCTAACCAGAGTTAAATCATGCTACAAAATAAACTATGAAATTTGATGCTTTTAATTAGGTTTTGTAGAAACAAATTAGCAGTAAAAGCTCCAAAAGTTTACACTGAGTGCTTTAAATAGCGTAAACAGCTACGTTTAAAATAAATGCTATGGCTGTTCGCCAAAGTTAATGAAAAGTAAATCCCCGAATTCATACCCAAAAAGCATGTAACCTTACTGCAACCTTGTGGTCGGAATGTTCTTTTTATTGACACGAAAATGTTTGTACTAAAAACCTTTTTTCAAATAAAGGAAAAATATTGCAGTTTCAAACCTTTCATCCTAAAAGGATTAAAAACTATTTTTAAAGCTTTTTTTTTTTTTAAATGCATTGTTTTTTTGGTAAAATGATCTTTTAGATCCATAATGACGTTTTAGATGACGTCACACTAGCGATAGGATCAAATTGCATTGTCCATTAAAATTTCCTGACAAGGTGTATTTTAGCTGAGCATACAAGACTTTGCGAAAAGAAACCTTATTTACCACCTAGATTTAACATTATTCTCACCTTAAGACTAGCTTTATTAAGGATTTTTCCTCGTTTGAAAACCTTAAGACAACCTCGATTTTATATAGAAGTGGTTTTCCAAGGTTCGGATTAGGATAATGTGAGTATATTAGAGCAGATTGTCACAGATTTCGTTTCAAGGTTAGAAGGTTTATACGTAAACCACATCAAAACCTTTTTAGGTTTACATTAAAAGGTTTTTAATGCGGTTTTCGTATAAACCTTCTAACCTTAAAACGAGATCTGTGGCAATTTGCTACGCACATTACCCTAATCCAAAACTTCGGAAAAACAATCTTCTAAACAAAAACCTTAAATCGAGGTTGTCTTAGGGTTTTCAAGCGTGAAAAAATCCTTAAATTAAAGCTAGTCTACAGGTGAAAATAATCTTAAACCTAGGTGATTATGATGAATCAAGATGAATTTTTATTGGAAGCTATGTGTTGAGAGGCAATGCAAGTTTAAATCATTTTCAGACCACCGTGAGCAGAATTAATCATCAGCAAAAGGAATTTATCTTCATTAAAAATTCAAACTATTTTCCGTATTTCTAGAGCACTCACCTTTAAATTGGAACTCGGTGCTTGATGACAATACAAATTGTAATAGTTTCTAAACTGCTACGAGCAGAATTTATCTCCAAAAAAGTTTATCGTCTATCGAAAGTTTGTCTATTTTCTCCTCTAGTAGAATATTCAAACTGTAATTAAAGCTTTGAGCCTGGCTGATTGCTCTAACAACAGATATTTCCAAAATTTTCGAATAAAATTGATTTTCATTTTATTCCCAATTGAAATTTTGACTACATTGGCAAATAGGGTTTGAAAGTACGAAAACAAGATTATAGGAATCAGAATTTTTGAAAAAACATTAGTTTTATGGATCGAAATTTAAAAAGGTTGAAAACTTTTTATTTACGGCCAATAGCAAGTTAGACTCTGCCCTTCACTGAAGGGAGAGTGTGCAGCGATCACTATATAAAGCCTATTAACTCTCTCTGTTTTGGGGTGTACACCCCATTCTATGATGGTTAAAGCATCCGATTACGGACTCAGAGGTCTATGGTTCGATTCCAACCGGTGCCTGCGAACATCATTCCTGCATTTCGCCACATTTGTGACTATAGACAGAGAAGAACGTAACTATCTCACAGCTCAGCAGATGGCAGCACTAGGCTATTTAATTTCGTTCCACAGTTAACTCTGATCCAACAAACAAATCACGCCTGGGTCACCATGGAGGAGGCGTGCGGGAGAGGTGTTGGTTGGCCCCGGGTGGGGATCGAATCAACTAATGTGGAGGAGTGTGGAAGACGCTTTTTTTTGGCGCTGAAGGGGATTGAACCAGGGACCTCATAGTTGGATGTTCTAACCACCATCGAAAAGAAGTACACCCCTAAGTTTGGTTTGATCCCGACCGGCGTCAACTTCCGCACTAATCCACATGGTGGCCCAGACGGGAATTGTCTATCTGCTTAAAGTGAACCGTTGAATGAATGGAGTAATGTAATGCTACCATCTGTAGAGGAACGAAACGATTGCATGTACTTCGTTGTGCATGGTTGCCTGAAAAAATATTCTTGAAAATTTAAAAAATACAAACTAATTAAGGGACACAAAATAAAAATAAAGAGAAAAATAATAAGATAAGCGTCTAAAGAACAAAAGTCTGTCTTCTAAAAATCTGTTCACAAAGAAAAGTTTGTAAGTTTTTTTTCTCCGAGTAACGGGTTTTCCTTTCATCAGACAGCGTGGATTCAAATTTTATACGAGGTATAATTTGTTCGACTAGAGGTATAATTGTGTGTCCATACCTGAATTTGTTCTTCTAACTACATCGTCCATACTGACTGACGTTCTTCTTGATTGTAACCGCAACAGGGGTGGTCTGTGAGGATAGCCTGTTGCTGATTCCATAGAATATTGCACAGGTAGCCTGAAAGACACACATTAAAAAAATATAAATAGGTAGTAATAATTATGATATGAGGAATATAAATTAAAAAAAGGAAAAGGATCATAATATGAAGAATATCGGCCGTTATAATTGTAATATGGGAAGTACAAAAAAAGGTAAAGTATTAAATGTAATATAAAGAACATAATTAAAAAATTTCTTTAAGCAGCAATATAACTATCACAATTTCTGAAAACCATTTAACTCTGTTGCACTATTATTAATTTCCCTTAATAAATACGCAAAAAAAAAACATTTGCAAAAATATTTTGCATAAATGTAAAAGGGTAACGAACAGTATTTTATATCAGTACTTTTCCGTAAATACTTTTGTTTGAACAATATAAACATTGATGAACAGGGTGGGCCTCAAATAACCATCGTTTTTGGTTTCAAAACGCAAAAGAATAAGGTATTTAATAGTTGCTCTAAGAACAAAACAATAGTTCAAATTTAAATTATAGGTTTGTAATGAACGATTATGAAAATAGAAGCTATTCCGAAATTAGATACTTAAAAATATATTTTCATATTTTTTAAAGATTTTGATTGTAAATTATAAATTTTTTTGTATGGAACTGGAGAGCCACAACTTTACATCAAAAGAGCCGCAGGTTGCTGATCCCTGAACTTTTCTTAAAATTTTTTTCAATTATTTCCTTAGATTGACTATTATAATGTCCAATCCATAAACAATTTTCATTCTACTAACTCAGTGGTCGCAAGAACTGAATTTTTTTTTGAAGTTAACTTCAACTACTTTATACGGTTATTATGGTTTAAAATCATCGGATTGCTTCAAGTGTAAGGCACTTAAACTATGACTTTTTTTTATTTTTCTTGGCCAGAGAGCTTCCAGAAACAGAGTTAAAAGTTAAATTCAGGAAAAGAATCATCCTCTTTTAAGATATACGAGATGGAAACTCAACACGAAAAGTGACACAAGTTTATCTGAATCGATCGATTGAAAATGCGCTCTAAGTAATCAATTAAGGGATAAATGAAAACCGATGATGTCGGCATCAACAACATATTCTATTTAATGTATTAATTATACTAGTCAAAAAAAGGTTTTATAGAAAAAAATAATTATTGAGATTTTACTCAACAGTGAAAGAAAAAAGAAACATGGTGCATATTTTCTTACTATTACTCGAATAAAAAATACTGACTTGTTTAGAAGAGTTCATTTTGGCGTCATTTTGAGTATCGAGTTTAATATATACTTTTCTTTCCAGTGGAAAATATTATTCTCCAAAACACAATTTTATTCGCAAAATTTGCGATTTTGTCACACTTGGCGAGGTGGCGAATGCTTTGCGCGGGCGCTGTATATGAGTGTATTGTTTTTGTCGTATACCATAAGGTAAGAAGGGTGCCAGTGGTGCCATCTGTGACCAAGAATTCGCTTGTGCTACAGACATAAACTGCTGTTTGTAGAAAATGCAACACCATGAAGGAATCATCAGAATCAAATGAAATATTATTTTAATAATGGATATAGGATATTATGCAAATTAATAAAGTTTCAGAGCCATCGCGCGTGCGTGGCGCGCGCAGCGCCCTCTGAATTGATGCTGAAAGCGTATAAATAAAGTGCTGTAGCGGGACGTTGAAAATAGTCTATGATTATTTGTTAGTGGCAAACGTTTAGTGAGACCTGAGTATGCCTCCACGACGGAAGAATAAGAAATTCAAGCAACTTACGGAGTTTGAACGAGGGAGGATAATCGGCCTTCGAGAAGGAGGATTTTCCTATCGCGCAATAGCAGCTCGTATGCAGCGGAACAGTTCCACAGTGATGCGAGTTTGGAAGCAGTGGACCGACGAGCACCGAACAACTCGAAAAACAGGCACTGGACGACAGAAGGTGACGTCAGAGCGCGATGATCGACACCTGCTCCGCATGGCGGTGAATGATCGCACAGCTTCCTCCAGGCAGCTGGCAGCACATTGGTCTACTGCTACAGGTGTACAATTGTCGGCTTCGTCAATTCGTCGTCGTCTGCTGCGCCGTGGATTGCGTGCAAGGGTGCCATTATACAGGATTCCCCTCACGGCGGATCATCGACGGCTGCGTCGGCAGTGGGCTCTTGAGCACAGAGACTGGCGAGCTGATTGGCACCAAGTTGTCTTTTCAGATGAATCACGCTTCAATTTGTGGACCCATGATGGCCGTGTTCGTGTTAGACGTTATGCCGGTCAACGCTGCCTTCCTGAGTGTATTATTGAACGACATAGTGGTCGAACACCCGGAGTTATGGTCTGGGGTGCGATTTCGTATCATGGACGATCCAATTTGATACGAATTGAGGGTAATCTCAATAGCAACAGATACGTCCGTGAAGTGCTACAGCCCGAAGTCGTTCCTTTCCTTCAAGGCATCCCTGGAGCTATCTTTCAGCAGGATAATGCACGCCCACATGTTGCGCGGACTGTTAGAGACTTCTGTTCAGCACAACGCATGCAACTTCTTCCTTGGCCTGCTTATTCGCCGGATATGTCGCCTATTGAGCACGTGTGGGATATGGTTGGTCGGCGTCTCACTCGTGATCCGCGTCCTGCAGTTTCCAAAGACGAACTTTGGTTGCGCATACAAGCGATATGGAATTCTCTTCCTCAAGCAGATATTCAACATCTGTTTGACTCCATGCCACGTCGTATAGCAGCACTTATTGCAGCGCGTGGTGGCTGCACCAAATACTGATTTCGGACGCTTAATTTGTTTCTTTTGTTTTGAAAATTTCATCATTTATTTGTATCAGTACAAGTCGTTTCTGCATTAAATTTCATTTGATTCTGATGATTCTTTCATGGTGTTGCATTTTCTACAAACAGCAGTTTATGTATCAGCCCGTTTCACAGAGAAGGTACATTCACGCAACATCCATCCGCAGATCGTAATTTTTACCTGAACCAGACCATGATCAATCTTCAATCCAGTATCCCCGGAGGTATTGATTTGCTATGGGGAACTTGGAGGACTTTGTGACCCCGACAAATTTACCGTTCACCAGTCTTCGGAAAGCGGGAATTGAACTCACGACCTCTTGGACATGTTGGTAGGGCCAAACGCCCTACCAACCAGGCTATTCCGGCCTCTCTCTCCATATATATATATATATATATTAATTTAAATATTTTAGTTTTAGAATTTCAAAATTTTAATAATTAATTAATATTTTATTAAGTCTAATATTTTAGCTACGCGATGTTACTTTTTTAACAACCCTCTTAGTATTGTAGTTTTTATAATAAAATATATTAGAAATTAAAAAATAAAAATACATTTTGAAGTTATATGTTTGCGTATGAAACATTTTTGTACCAAATACGAATTAATAAAAATAGTTTTATTGACAGCTACAAAAAAAAAGAATTTTTTCCCTGCTATTTGTTATTAACCTGCAATTATAAACAATCTCGTTAATACCTTTCGTCTATTTGAAATAAACAACTCTAAGTAAACTTTTTATATAGTTTTCGAATTGTTTGTCCTGAAGTTCTAATCGCTTTAATCACATATTGCACGAGTTTAATTGCTTTCCAAATATTTGCGATGCTTGGATTTTTTAAATTAATATAGCACTGCGTTCTCATCGAAAGTTTAAAAAAAAACTTTCTGTATGACTGTAGAGAGAATGAACTAAATAATTTAGAACATAAAGGGTATATTCTTTCTTGTTTTCACCTTTGAATGGAATCATTAATAATTCAAAAGAAAGTATTTTCGCGTACTAACAAGGGAAATTAGGGAAGTGTGACTCGCCAATTTTGAAATAAACTCGTGGGATGTATGCCTTATGAGGAATAATTTTAGGGGGGCAACATTCGTTTCGGCCCATAGAAGGTCCTTTGAGAAATAAAAATAATTCAATATATAGAAAAATCAGTATTTTATTACTTCAATGCAGACTATTAGTTATTGTAATTGTCTCAGACTCCAATTAATTCGTAATTAATTGGATAACTAATTCATTTGCTAATTAATAAATTAGTTAGCAAATGAATTAATTAACTAATTAATTAATTTGCAATTACATACTTCAATTAATTTGGAAAATTTTTTGAATAAAAAAATTAAATAAATTTGATGTCAAATTTTTTTTTTTAATTAACCTAACAGGTTTTTCTGAAAAACTACTGATATATAAAATTTTCGAAATCAATTTTGACAAAAAATATGCATTATATAGTACGTGTAAGTACCACAATATTAATTGGAGTATGAGATAATTGCAATAACTAATAGTCTGAATTGAAGTAATAAAATACCGATTTTTCTATATATTGAATTATTTTCTATCTCTCATAGGATCTTCTATGGGCCGAAACGAATGTTGCCCCCCCCTAAAATTATTCCTCATAAGGCATACATCCCACTAGTTTATTTCAAAATTGGCGAGTCACACTTCCCTAGTTTCCCCTGTTAGTTGTTATTGTTTGTTTACATCGTACTAGAGCTGCACAGTGGGCTATCGGCAATGGTCTGAGAAACATCCATGACGATGATCCGAAGTCATGCAATCACAATTTTAAACCTCTGCAGAGGGGATGACTCCTCTGCTTCAGTAGCCAAACAACCTGCACGAGAAGTCGAGCACTTAACGGTAGAACAGTTTAACGAGGACCGATGCCGCATACCCTCGGTCCTTTTGTAGGCTGATCAAAGTGGTCACCACTGAGTCGTCAAGCATCATTGACAGCAGCCAGTGATGCTCGACTTCGGTGTTCTATTGGGAGCCGTGTCTTAACGATCAGTCCACTGCGGGTCTCGTGTACTAAGTAGTTTTAAAATAAGATAGACTGCAGTTACTATGGAACTATTTTTCGAAATTAAGTTCATTCGGAAATAGCATGTTAATAACCATAACAAACTTATAACAGTTTTTATAACTGTTATGAGTTTGTAATGACAATTCAGGAGTATTTTTTTCCTTAGCTAGAGTCCTCTATGAAAATTGCGCATAATTTCGCACGGAAGACATGCAAAAATGTAGTGACAATGAAAAAGCGTTTATGATGTAATTGTTTTTTTTTTTTTAAAAAACTTACTCCAACACTAAATTGCTTAAATTCGAAAAAAATGTGGACAGCCTAAAGATTATTAATTTGTTTTAAGGCTTTTTTTTTAGAAGGTTCTGTCATCGCATGAAATAACTCTGTTTTCAGAATGCTATTTTACAATTGCTATGATTTTGCAACATTTATTCGTGACTGTTTGTTCAAGTTCAGCCTATTTTCAAACAGCGAAAAGCGAAAATCGCGCCAAAAATCAATATAGCATACTCTCGATATCTCCAAGTTGAGGGAACGCTAAAAAATTTCGAGATAGCTAGTTTTCGAGATAACAAGTTCAGAGATAAATATGTTCTAAGGAGTTGGAAAAATATATTCTAAGAAATATACTCTAAAAAGAAGATGCATGAAACATCAGAATAACTACTAATAAATATATAAGTAATGATAGTACACTATAAGCCTAAATGCAATAATGATAATTTTGTTTTTTAAAAGCAAGACAAAAATAATTAAGCATTAAATATAAAAGAATTGGTCAAAATATTTAAGTTCTTTTACCCGCTCTAAAACTTAAATAATTCTTTACTGCGGCACGAAGGTATATATAATTTAAATATATAGTTTTGCCAGGTACTTAAACTATTAACTGTGGATTTATTTATTTATTATTTTTTGAAAAAAACCCTTCTAAAACACTGTTTATGGATTTCATCTAGGTGGAAAAAATCTCTTCGAATCGATGATATTTTACAAACGATTTTAATTTAAGCAATAAGTCCTGACGATTCATTTCAGCAAATATAGTTTGCACAACTTAAAATTTAAAGTTTCATTCGACTTTAAGGCACTTGAACTGTTGATCTTTTTATTTTCTTATCCCTGCCAAGAGATTTTTAGAGCAAAGTTAAGGATGAAAAAGGATAGAATTTATAGCTACTATAGAAGTAGATTTTATAGCTATAGTAGTAGATTTTATAGCTATAGAAACAGATTTTATTACTATAGAAATAGATTTATAGCTATAGAAGTAGATTTTATAATTATATAATATATACCTAGAGAAATAGATTTTATAACTATAGAAAATAATTCATATAAAATTTAGAAGCATGGTTCGAAATCATCATGCAATCCTTCTGATAATATTACCTTTTTTGCCAATTATAATAATCTACAATTATTCTATAAATGTTTATTCCTATATTTTTATAACATATCCCACTTCTTACTAAATTATAAAACCTTTGATTTATACTTCAAATACCAGAGTTGATGAAGATATAAATTTTTTTGTTACGTTTTATAATAGAACCGATGAAAAATAGATACATTCACAAATTTTCATTAATATGCAATCGAACAAAAATGTTCGGCGATGTAAAAATTTTCATTCTAGCATGTATTTAATAAGACTAGTCAGGGCACGCAAACATTTTAAGAAGTTGGTGCTTGTCGTACCAGCAAATATTTCTTACAGAGAGCATAAGTTTTAAATGGGGGAAATACTCTGTTCCAATTTGAATCAGCAATTTGTATTTTAGGAATAAGAACTTACATTTCTGAAGAAGGTATGGAGAGTTTCTCTAGTTTTAGTTTGTTCCTCTGACTTCTGGCCACATGTTCCAACATGTCCCTCAGCAACTCCATTAAGGCTGTAAACTAAACACAAAACAAATATATATATGTAATTTAAAATAAATAATATAACATACTTCTATATTATTTATATATTTAAAATGAAATATTTTTTTAAAAAAATATTTTATTTTAATAGTTATTTTCCTTCTTTCCTTTTCATCAATCTTTCCATTTCTTTAATTTCTTCCATGTTTTCTCTATATTTTTAACTTATTTTATGAGTTCTATATACTTGCAACTTGTGTGCAGCAAATAAAACTTACTAATGATCTTAATTTTCTTCGTTTTCCTCTTTTTTTTCTTTTTATCCTTTTTGCTTTCATTGTCATATACATATATAAATGGTGCTTCTTTAGTTAGTGACAGTGCCCCCAAGGTGTACAAATTTATTATTATTTTTGACAAAATATTCTAAAATATTTGTGCTAAAGGCGGGGATTACAGTACACATTTTGTAAAACTAGAAATATGTTTGTGAAGATAAGTAAACAAAATAAAATGAACACTAAGTTTTATAAATATTACTTCGATAATTTATAAACTGAAAATAAATACTTGTTTAAAAAAACATACTAATACTGTGCCGATGTGGTATAAAATGATATAACTCTGTGACTAGGAGTGCGAGAACTAAGTGCTGTAGCACTTAGTTCCTCTCTGTCTTCAACTTTAAAAATGCTATTGGGATCTTTTATTTTTTGTTTTGTATTAAATTGTAATATAAATGTTGGAAATACGTAAAGGAATGTCAACGTGTAAGGACAAGTTTCTAACGAACTTCATCCTAATCCTGATATATCGCCACTCACGCTTGTGTGCGTGTCTCTAAGAGGCCGCTTAAGCCTCATCTTCCTCACCCTGTTGAACCGAAAGGTTTACTTTGTTGGAGGTTTCATAGCATTTCCTTTCTCTTGATTCGTTCAATATTTCATGACTGCGGAACGTGATTACTGCACGACAACGAAATTTCGCTTCTTCCTAAAATGTGGGTATTTGAATAATTAATATGGAACTCCTTAGTGATGGCGTAGATTTAGAAAATTAATATTTTACTCATCAAAAACAATATCGAACAGAACAGCATCGGTGTTTTTCTATACCCGCTTTGAAAAAAACTAAATTTTTGTAAAGCAGCACTTTTTTATTCCAATCTATGATGGTTTAATGGAATCAAAGCAAAAGTTTAAGAAACTTTTTATATTATTATTGTTTTAAGGTTATAGTATGATTAGATTACTTTAAGATGGTGTAAAAATCAGGTGTTATAGGGCCACTGCCACTAGTAAGAAAAACGCTAGTAAAATCTGTGGAATTTCTAGTAAGGAATATAGGTTAATCCCGTTTCATCACCTGATAAAATGTGGAAGCGTTTCTAATCTTCTAATTGTTTTTGAACTGCTTTCTGTTCCAATCAAACAGGCTTTGATGCCCACCCTGCCTTTCTAAGTTGTGATTAGCATTCATGTTTTCTCCTCCTTTAAATATTGATTAGCGACATCTAATTTGTATAATTATTGATTTAATTTTTGAAACAATTCATAAAATATATATCAAGAGCGACGATTACGAAACACTTTGAATGAAAAAAAAAAACCATTAGTTTGAGTGATTTGTTAAATTTTCTTTTAACTGCTTGCTAAATTTTAGACTATGAAAAAAGTTTCTGTAAAAAATACAGAGGAGTTAAATGCAGGTTACAGATTAATCTACTGTAAGAGAATGTCAGTTTCATAAAGTGTGTATTATATTTGTTTCATCTGTTTAAGTAAAGATTGAAATCATCTGATTTGAAAAGACTTTTAATTAAAGAATTGAGAGATATTTGAATATATTGTATAATTTGAGAGATATTTGATATATCGTCTTAAAAAAAATTTTTTTTTTCAGTGATCTATAGAGCAAAAACTAAGAATAACTTTGAATGTGAACGGAGACTCAATATCTTAATCGTCAAAATCTATAAAAGTTATTTACTTTTTTTACTAAAAAATGCATATTAATCCACAGAATAAGAATATTAAAATAGGTATACAAATTAGTTCGGTCCGTTTTTTTGTGTGATCAAAAATGCATTTGTTTCAGAATAAAATGAATGAACAGATTAATCAAAGTATTGTTCACCGCTGGCTACTACTTTTTCCCACCTCTCAGGCAATTTTCGAATTCCATCTCGAAAAAATGTCTCGTCTTTTGAGGCGATCCAAGTTAGGAGTCAATTTTCGATTTCTGCGAAAGAAGTGAACAGGTGACTTGTTAAATCGTGCTGCATCCGTCGGAATAACCAGCAATCAGAAGGAGCAATATCCAGTGAATATAGCGGGTGCGGTAAAATATCCCACTTGAGCGTTTCCAAACAATTTTTTACGACTTTTGTGCCATTTGGCTGACCGTTATTAGGCAGAAGAATAATTTTGTAACGTCTTTGCTCGTATTCCGGCCGTTTTTCTCGTAATGCACGGCTCAAACGAATCAATTGTAGTCTATACCGATCGCCCGTAATGGAATCACCAGATTGTAGCAGCTCATAGTATACAACACTATTCACCATTCTTCATTCACCATTCTTGAAGTGTCAAAACCCTTCCCTGCATGAGTTATCAGTTGGAGCATTGTCACCATAAACTTCTACAAGATTTCGACGCGCTTCCGCTGCTCTTTTCTTCCAATTAAAGCAGAGACATAAAAATTCCCGCAAATGGTGCTTCATTACCACAAAACTTGACATACTCAAGAAAGTAAAAGACAGGGTTTTTGTATGAAAATCAAAGCGATATAAACTGAATATCATTGACAGACGTATAACCTCCCTGAAATCACCGAACCAGCTGTCACCATGAAACATTCATAACAGCAGAGCCGTCTCTTTAAAACGGACTGAACTAATTTTTACTCCCAATAATTTTTAAACTAACATTACTGGGACCTTTACCTATTTGGTGCTTACGGTTTATGTAGGATGAAAATTAGGTGATTGCCTATTTATTTCATATTTTATTCAAAATATCGAATAAATAATTTAACTGATACAGCTTCGAAAATTAAATCTATTTCTAAGAACTTTCTTCAAAGTGTATTTGGTTCGTAAATGTTTTCTTATGGACATAAATAGTTTTGAATTTTTTTATTACATATTTAAAATTTATTATATTATTATATTTAATACATATTTAAAATTGGTTTTTATCGTGCTCATTTTTGAATAATGCGATGTTGAAGACAAGGAAAAGAAATACCTGATCCAGCTTGAGTGCAGGGCTGACGACCACGGGAACTAGCGATGGCATCACTTTAGTTGCTAACAAGTTCACAGTTAATCCATACCTTTTGTCCCCCAACATGAATTTGTAGATCCCTGGAAAACATCATACATCTCTTTAAAACTCTTTCAAAAAATAGTGAACAATGAGAAATTTGAGTTCGGGGAAACGGGAATTCCTGCTTGTTCTTGTTTACAAAAAAAAATATCTTTGCAGTCGAACCTCTGTTTAACGAAGTAGCTAAATCTCGATAAGTTCGCTATAAGGAAAATTCGTTAAATAGAAAATCCCCTTTTGAAATACTCAAACAACACAAAACAGGTTTTAAATTCATAAACACTAGACATAATTAAAATACCGATGGATACACCTTTATCTTGTGAACTAGTATCTACTATTTATTTTATAAATCTTAACCATAAAAGAAATTTGCATGGAAACCGAGAATAGAGCAAAACATCATCCGGTGTTACACTATCGTGCTACATACATTTTCAACAAAAAAAAGAACTAAATTTATGTGTTAAATAATAGCTGCATTTATTACAAAAGTAATTTTAAACATACATTACCACATGTGTTCTTAAGTTTAATTGCTACTTATAAAATCCGTTAATTTTGTCTGAGTTTTTCGTTTGACATGCAAACAAAAAGGGAAAGAGATATTACTGCTTTCTTTAAAAGTTAAGTGGCTTCGAAAATCAATTCAAAGTCATTTCACCCATGAAATGCGGATTTTGGGAAAATGGATCTCAAAGGAAAACTCGTTAAGCAGAAAATTCACTTCGCTATTTGGAAGTTATTTTACGAAGAAATTTCCAAAATGTTCTTAGGTTCATCGAAAAAAAAATCGCAAAATAGAGAAATTCTCAAAATGGAAGTTCGTTAAATAGAAGACCGACTGTATATGATATAAGGAAGATAATTAAATTTATTTAAATTTTTTAGTTTATGCAAAATTAACATTTTTCTATAATTTTAACTTAATTTGTATATTCCAGCCAGCTTCATTACTAGTTGAAAATAATTCCAGTAGATGGCAGTGCAATAGCAATGGGATGCTTTTTCTCAACAGGTGATATCTAAGTTTGTAGAGAAGAAACAATTTCTAGAGGAATAGGAGGACGCATTTTTTTTCGAATGGTAATATATTTGTCTAGTGTTCGGTAAATGTAACAGTTATTGTACTGAAGTGTTTTAAGAAAAGACAGTAAATGAATAGTAATTAAAAAGGCAGTAAATAAACAAAACCAAACATTATTCCTTTGTTCGAAACAAGTATTTTTATCAAATGATAAATGAAAATAAAAAAAAGGATATTTTTTTCACACTGAAATTATACAGGTGTGTAGAAAGATGTACAAGGAGTACAATGGAATAAAAAAAATTTAAACATTCGACATAGTTCGAGAAATATTATTGATTAAATTCGTAGCAAAAACCACCATACGGGCCGCTCTTAGAACTTCGGAGTTAAAACTTGGTGTGCTGCCTCCATATTTGTTTATAACGTAATATAGTTTTTTTTCCCTTCAAAATTCCAATTTGTTCGTAAGTTATTGAAAATGTACGTGCTTTTTTGCAAATGTTTTACAACTCTTTCGTTTTAGGCTATATTTTGCTTTGCAGCACAAAATCTATCACACTTAGACCTTTAAAATTTCAAAGGAGAGTAGAAGTACAAGGTGTACGAAGAATGTACAACTAAGCAATCAGGAAAAAAAATATCCTGTTTGGTCGATCTGTACCACATTGAAATGCAATTACGGAGTTTAAATTAACAGAGTTATATTGAGTTTAATACAAATGAGTGAACTTAATACGAAGTTTTGTCTAAATTACAAATTGCTCGAAAGTTTTTGCAAATTTAAGTGCTTTTACAAGATTTTTTCATTTTTTTTTTGCTTTTTATATTAACTATTTATCTATTGTTGTAAAATTTTATTTTTCCTTTCCAGATCTTTAGTTCTTTATTTCATATGCTTACGCACGAGGAGTAGATTTCAATCAAAAATAACAAAAGAAACAGAAAGAAAGAGAGAGATCTTATGTTGCCAGGTTCTTGGTCTAATTATTAGATGACCTGCAAAATACTATGCAAAATATATATATATATATTTCTCTTACACGGCAACAAAAAAAAGCCTCATTACAACTCCCCGAATGGCAACTCTAGAAAATCGACCCATGATTGCCGCTAAAAATGTCACATGCCAAATCTAGCTGAGATGGCTCAACATATAGCGCTTTTAAAAACGGAAACTGAAATAACCAGAGATAGCATAAGCTAGGCAGAAGTGAGAAGTCTTTGTCGATAGATCTCTATTTTAGTATTTTGTCGAAAGCGCTTTTTTTCACGAATTTATATATTGCGAATTTATTTGACGATTTTTGATTTATATCACGAATTTATTTGTTTTACTAGAACTTATTTGTTTATGCAGGTTTTTCCATTGCAATTCACTTATTTCAATTTTTAATAGACTTAGTTATAGCCAA